ACGGCCATTTATTGTAAGCTGATTGGCTTAACTGAAACGTATTATCTTCTCTCTTTTCATTCGTATTTTCCTTATTGATTTAGATGTAGCTTGTGAACTGGGTTATGGAGTCAGTTCTCTAATATTCTGGTCTTAAATGATTGTCTAGGTAATTGGAAATCGTAGGACTTTCTAATCTTTTGCATTAAATCGATATCTTCCATTTCACAGTAGTTTGTTTGGTTCTGGAAATATTTTTTAGCGGCTTGAAAATTAAGTTTAGATTCGTATTTAGTGCTATTCGTGCATTAACGATGAGATTTAGCTGAACTTCAGTTTGCTTTCATAACACTGAGTTAGGATAGAGTTGAGGTACGACTGGACCTTCCAATCTCATGGTTCATCGCCAATTTCTTGTTCTGACAAGCCGTAGATCGCTTTTTCCACCTCAAAGTTTCTTAAGGCCCTTTAACTGGGGCTTTTGGGAATCATCGGCGACCTCTGTATCTCATGGCAGACCTTTCTCTATATTAATCTTTTAATGCGTTAAAGCCTCTATTCTCCGTGGGTTCAGACCGGAAAGATCGCTTGCTTAACCGATTTCAAAGTGTTAACACATCCAAACGGTGTCTGCCTGATGTTGTGGCATAAGGCTGCTCGAATGAACTTCAGCCCGAATGAGGTGCTGCTCTCAACTCGCATCCATACCATCGCACTTGAGGTTTAAAGGAAGCCGGTGTCTCGCCCACATAGAGCTAGATAATCATGTGATAATCTACGAAACAGATTAGGTTTAGGTATAAAAGTTTATTCATTAGAATGGAATTCCCAAACTTGTTGGGAAGAATAACGGGTTGTGAAAACGATAAGTAACAGTGGCTGAGGATCTGTTGGTAACGATTCGTTTTTATTATAAATTTCGTTTATCTCATGTTTATTAATGTGTTATTGATCACCAAATTACGGCTAAGTCGACACCGTTGATGGGATTCTTGTCGAAACGATGTTCATCCTTCTACCATTCACAGAGAGAATCTTGTCGATGTAAAGTACAATAAAATAGTGTTTACTCTTCAAGGCATTTTATTTTGAATTAACATGCTAAGGCACATGGCGCATTCAAATCAAGCACTCTCCGAGCGCGCGCTTAGTACACCGTCCTTTGCTTCTTTACCAGCAATTTCAGTGATATCACCCAAAAACAGTCGATTCTGCTAATTTCCCTCCTTTCATCACAAGACAATGAAATAAGACCTGCCAGTCTACAGCGCCTCGGAAATTGGAGAATATTTTTTACAGGTTCACAGGTTTTAGGTTTGGGCAGAAAAACTGCGAACCGAGCTCCGGTTATGGAGCCTATGAGCATAACATTAGTTGTATCCCATGCAGAAAGTGGTACCACCAGTGTAGTTGCCAGATCTTGGCATTACGAGATTCTGCTTGGTAATAATTAATTAATTTTGGTTTTATTTTACTGCGTAGTCTTTTTTGGACCCACCCTCGACTTGCTAACTTTGTACCTGCGTACATAAGTAGGGAATGGAACTGACTTTAAAACTACTGCTTTCGTACAGGCAAGAGGGCTGGCGTTTGGAATCAGAGAAGTTGGATGACTCCTCAAGGCTGCTTATCACTGGTGTCGTCTACAACGAGATGAAGGGCGTCTTCGTGAGTTCATCCACTCCCTATTATCTTCACCCATTTTTTCTGTAGTCGAACTCGCTAAACCTTTTGGCGCAAACCGTGGAGAATAACCTCTTGCCAGTGAGCTATGGCCATGTCAGTGGTGGTCATCCTGATGCCATCCCTAGTCTGAGTTTGGAGTCCTTAAAGAAGTTTCATAGTACCTTTTATCATCCAAGCAATGCCACGTAAGTGAGATATCAGTTTTTCACCTGTTTGTTGATCTGTATTTATATTACATCAGTAAATGTTTAGCTGATTTGGCACGACACTGATTGACTTGTTGGCCATCTGAGCTTTACGACTCTGCTTAGGGTTCGCCTGGTCTATGAACCGTTTAGCTTTCAGACGAAAAGCCGAATGGTATGCCATGCCGCTGTGTCTGAGACCTAACAAATTGCCTTAGTATAATTGCAGCACCTTTCCCGCTGCACCTTGATGGTATTCAAGTTGTCTTTTCTTGCGTGACATGGCAACGTAACATTTCGTACTTCCTTAAGGCTTACCACTGGGGAGCACACGTCAAAATTTAGAATTGGGGGAACATACGACCTTTGTCTCAATTCTACTCGTCGTCCATTATGTTCATCTATTCCTTCGTTTGTTGGTAGGATGTCGGATACTTGTACTCTTGCTAGGGCTTTGTTTTATTAAGGTCTCATATTTCTGCTGCTTTTATACCCGTGCGGGAAGTTTGGGGCCCAAATGCTCAGATGTCCAATCTAGTTGAATATCAAGTTTGCGGTTTTATGAAAAGAATAGTTCTTTGGCGTCGATGACTTACTTGTAAGGTCTAAGTCGTGACCACAATGTAGCCCCATACGGATATTTTGCAGTAGCGTTTCTTTAAATTGCAATTTCTACATCAGCATCTGGTTGAATGACAGTTCAGAGCACCAATAGGCAGCGCAGAAGCACTTGAAATTCGTTGGCTACTTATTTGAGATCGCGTTGAGATTTGACGATTAAAGTGGCTTGCGATCTGAATCTTGTGCAGATCCAGACTTTCGGTGACCCAACCAGGTTTAAATGCATAATTTATATAAGTTTTAATTTTTTGTATTCAGTCTTATCGCATTAGCCGATAGTCGTTCAAACAAGTAGGAACCTTAGAAAACTCATTTCCCCTAGCTTTTACACCTATGGAAACATCGAATTGGAAGGATGTTTGGAAGCCCTGGACACCGAGTGCTTATCCAAATTTACTGCTCACCCGACTTCACCACAAGTACCACTGGAACCTCGCTGGAAGGAACCGGTAGGCATAAAAACAATCAACTACTTTGTTCGCTTATT